TGTGGTGTGGTGTGGTGTGGTGTGGTGGTGTGATGTGGTGTGGCGTGGTGTGGTGTGGTGATGGTGTAGTGTGGTGTGGCGTGGTGTGTACATGAGTTTTTAATGAAATACAACGAATCTCTTGTCTTTGCACCAGGAATGGGAGAACAACGCAAGCAGACACGTCAGCATCAAGGACAATCTTGACAGCATTATACAACTCATCATTCGATGGAGAAAGTTGGAGCTTAGGTAAAAAAACATTTATTCAAACATGACCCCTCTTGCTCTCCCGTCCTCTCCCGTCCTCTCCCGTCCTCTCTTGTCCTTTTCTTTCTACTCTCTTCTTCTCCCTTCAGTATAACACAATGGCTGTTGATATCACTAGGTGCTGGTCATCTCTTCTTGATGTTGCTACAGACAAAGCGTCCAGTAAGGCYAGCCAGTGGTGGTTCTACTTATACAGTCTTGTGCAGCAAGTATTTAACAACGATAACACCAGCAACTCATCTGGTATGATCCTTGTTTTCCTTATTACCTTGAAGGTTGGAGACAGGGTACAAACTATCCCTACCCTACCCCTTCTGTGCAGCATTAAAGGAAAGAAAGAATTCCCGCCAGTTTTCAAAATATTTTCGAGGGGGGAGGAGAGGGGAAAATAGTGTCACCGGCATGAATACGTAAGACTATTATGCAGAACTACTTAGTTTTCGTTTATTGAAAACCACCAAGCGATTCAGAACGAATAGTTACGACGGGGGTTCTTTACCAGTAATCTCTACGCACGATTTTGTACTCTCTTCATTTCCTTCCAATTTTTCCTTTCCTTATATATTTATTTATTTATTGCTTTAGTCGAAGTTTCTGATCTCATCGATCCTCTCCAACGCTTCATCGAGTCGTCGTCACTGGGCGAATTCTCATCGCGCTTAAAGATGCTCTACGCCTTCTACCAACAGTGTGTAACCATGGAGATTACTATGGCAACCACGTGTAGCCAAGGAGATGCGCGAACCAAAGTTTCAGATACAATGTTGAATATTCACGCGTATTATAATCAATTCTCTGGAGCCGTGCAGAAGAGAATCGAACATGCGAGGGAACCCATCGAGAAGGAACTGAAGGTGAGTTAACTATATTGAGAACCACGGCACGGTCACGGTGCAAACGTGACATCTTCCACCAATGAAGTTTATTTCTTTTGGATTTGTAAGTAAATCTTCTGGTTCAAATATTTCCAGGGTTACGTCAAGATAGCCAAGTGGAATGATGCGAATTTCTGGGCCATGAAACAAGCTGCAGAAAAGTCCCATCGAACCCTTCACAAGTTTGTTCGAAGATACGAGGTGAGGGATGTTATTACATTCAATTATATTCCATCATTTTAGTATTACTTTTAGATGGCTTAAAGACACAGCGATAACGAAAACCAGCATGGAATTGTGGGATACTTTGAGGATCCCAAGATAGCGGGATCTCTTCATTACTTCTCTAGATTCAGCCCCACTATAGTCCTCTTTACCTTGGGTTAAAGATGTTGACCATTTCAGACCACGTGTCATTCCCAAGAACATCCTTTCTTTGTTTAAAGGTTGCACATGAGAAGACACATACATATGGTTACAACTCAAACAAAGAATCGTATTCTCAAGAGAATGACACGTGGGACGATATGAAAATTTTAACAATTTGACCATCTCTAATGATGTTCTTACCTCATAAGGCGGCGCTGAGCGAACCTGTTCGTCATTTTCTGATGGATACCAAAACCATTCTTGGCTCTCTGGAAGCTGACACTACTAATGCACCACGTGATGAAAAGCTCGAACCTCATTGGTTCATTTTGCCTGACAAGGCACAGGTGCGTTCAAGAGCGATGTGTTTTTCTAATTTGTTTTTAAAAAAAATTAAGGAATAGTTTCTGATATTTCAATATTTTATATGATTAATTTGAATATTTTTCTAATCCTAGATTTCTCAACAAATCACTGACCAGACAATGAGCCAGACGTCTGCGTTAAACAATCAGATTGACAGATTACCAAGACTCCTCCCAAAAATGAGAAAACTTTGTCTCAGAATACTTACCAAGCAGAAATACCCTCAACTCGTGGCAACACTAGATGACTTTACAGGTAGAGTTGGATTGTAGTTTGACTCAACCCACGTCAACGCGGACTCGGGAAAAGATCATTGCGCATGCGTGCTTTTCTTGGGGCATACGCAAACAATTTTCACTCTTGTCCCTAGCACTTGGTTTTGACCATAATCCCTTGCGCACTATCAAAAAACATTGATTATCAGAACATTTTTATATCTTAGGCGAGATTATCACTGCAGTGCATGAGCTACAGTCTCTTGATGTTTCTTCTCAGGTAGGTATTAACTTCACCTCAGGAAAGGTCGAATAGACTCTGATTTACGATCTATTTTTTTTCTTGAAGCCCAAAGAGAAACGCTCAGAAGTGAGAAAACACATTCATCTCAGAAAGCGTACATCGCTGGCGGAGCTGTTCAAAGCTTTGTCATCTTTAGGTGAGTGGATAACAGAAAATAGTGAGGAAATATAGATATTTTCTAAGATAGCGAACATGGTGCATTGTGGTCTAGCTTGGGTACAAACATCCCAATATCCTCATGCCTTATATGGTGTTGTTTGTACCCAAGCTAGACCACAATGCAACATGTTTATCGAACTCAGAAAAAAGTTATCAGAAAGGGAGATTCTTGCTAGAGTTTAAAGCATAATCAGTAAGCAAAAAAATAATATACAAGAAAATGAAATATTTTGATAATATTTTACCAAGGCTGAAACCGGATCAACAGACGCGATTAAAATTCTAAACGTTTCCCATAATGCACTTGTTACTGCGCATGCGCATAGTCATACTTAATATTGCTTCATTTTCGCAGGTCTGTCATACAGAAAGGGCCTACAAACACTCAACCAACCGTCCATACAAGATTCTTCCATGTTACTTCCAGCTCTTGACGAGAGAGCGATTCGCCACATTCAAGAAGGAATGCCAAGGTTCGTCTGTCGTTACTATGGCAACCATTTTTTATTACCATGGAAACTATCAATATCTTGTTTCACTGCAATATGCTTTAATTCCTACACCATAAAATCTTATTAAGTACACTTATAAAGTCCCGTTTACACTAGCGATTTTTGCGGCGATTTTTGCTGCGATTTTTTGCGATTTTGTCCATAATAAATGAATGGTAAAGAATTTACTTGTAAAGTTTTTTTCCGGATACCAAGATTTTCCTAGACGAATGTCTCTTTTGAAGGATGAGACAAAAGATTTCATATTTCGGAAAATTGCCACAAAAATCGCAGCAAAAATCGCCGCAAAAATCGCCAGTGTAAACGGGGCTTAAAAAGACTCCATCGTCGTTTGTAGTAAAATATATTTTCTATTTTTAGTGGGTTAGTAAAGGCAGTCGGCTCCCTTAGCAACAGATGTCAACACTATTACTATAGATGTGTGGCTCGTACGTCAGCCTTGAATGTTCACATGGCATCGCCATCCAAGGTAGGCTACATATTGTCACTGAAATGGCTTTTCTTCCTGAGCCAATCAAAATGCACCGAGACGCATACCAGCCAATCAAAATAATCCTTATACGAAATCTGCTCTGTGTACGGTTTGTGAATGAGTTTTCGTATGAGAGGGAAACATACAGTATTGGCTTACAGTGTGCACGGTACGACATGCCGTATCATTGAAATTGCTTCCCATAAGAATGGTTATTGTATGAGTGGGAAACATACAGTATTGGCTTACAATGTGCACGGTACGACATGCCTTAACATTGAAATGGCTTCCCATAAGAATGGTTATTGTATGRGTGGGAAACATACAGTACTGACTTACAGCACGTACACGGTACGACATGCCGTATCATTGAATTTGCTTCCCATAAGAATCTCAGCTAGAGGACATGCCATATTCGTTAACTTATATGTCTATTTTCCCCACAGGAATTAACGTTAAGTGATATCGAACGAAGCAAGGGATACACACATCACTTGTTGCGTGTTGTGCAAGGTCAACGAAGGTCCATAACATCTGTCACGCAGTGTATGGCATTACTAAGGTGAGTTACGTGAATTGTTAGATACTTGTGTAACGCAATCAATTTCATTCTATCTTACGTGACCGCTAGAGTAGGCACGAAATTTCTCAATCTGCTACATTTCCGGTTTCCTTTTACTTATTATGATTATTTTCTCGACAGGCTTGCTTCTAAGTCTCTCGCAGATGTAACAGAAGCCGACCATGAAGCACACTCGGCGATGCTACCACCACAGGATGAGATACCACAACGAATAGTAATAGGAATTTTTTTTAGTTTAAATAGTTTTCATTATCACAACCATATTGTTAAGGCTGCACGTTACCAATATCCCTGTTACTGTCTTGTTCCAAGATCGAGGTATAATCTAGTGTTACGTAATCTTTGTAAAAGATATCGTTATCACCAGGCCACCTTCATCTTGCCATGCATCAATGTCATCTTCGTTTTCATTATCACTTTATGTTTAAGGATGACTACCTATCTGCCTATCCTCCTCGTGCCTAAATGTCATATAGGGCCTTCACAGCGCTCTTCCACCTTTCCCTGTCGGCCGCCACAGTCCGTTTAAGGCTGCACGTTGCTATTATCCCTGTCACTTTCTTGTTTAGTTCCTGTTTTTAGGTGTTATCTAGTGTTTCATAATCTTTGTAAGGGGTATCTGGTTATTATCCATGCTCTTACTTGGTGTCATGTAATGCTTGTCTCTCCTCCAGGTTGGTTTAATGGACCTACTGACATGGGTTGGTCAAGGGTTAGAGCGTTCCTCGCATCTCTTAAACAGCTGCCCTAAGGGAGAGTTTGAACCAGAATCTACTGCATTTCCCACAGCCATGCTGTCACCTGCCGCTATGACTCATCGTGATAGCGAGACGCACCAGGCTATCATAAACACCATTCAGGTAAACTAGAAATAACTCGACTTAGAATTATAGAAGGATGTGCAGTGGCAGGGCCAGGCAGGGGAAAATGAGAAGAGAAAATAAAAGAAAGGGAGAGAAATTGTTAAGTCTTTGAACTTACTTTTGGATGGAATAAAAGAAAGGGAGGGATTGAACTTTCAGTCGTAAGGACAGGCAAGGTGTAAAGAAAAAAGGGGAGAGAAAAAAAGAATGAATGGATGGATGGATGGACGGAGAAAGGGAAGGAGGGGGAGAGAAACAGTGAAGGATAAATGCATGATATTTCTGTGATGGTTCTGTTGGTTTTGTTGATAGTCAAAATACCCTATTTTTGCGCATAATTCAAAAATGTAATTTGTCTACAGAGCTGTCAATCAGACGTCAAGAAAATAACCAATGAGATCAGACCCCATGCTGTAGCATTTGAAAGTCACGTGAGCGGAAGTGACGTAGGAAACTATGTGTTAGCATCCTGGTAAGTCCTCCCGAGCCGACAGTTTCCAAGAAGAGTATTTTGTTTTTGAAGTTCGTCTTTTTGTTTTACAGGAAACATGTGGAAATTCTCTCACAAGGATTTGATGGTTTGAAAAACGTTTATCAGATCATACAAGAAATTGTTCCGTACTTCAAATCCAGGTAAGGTTGCCGTTACTATGGTAACTACTGCTCTTTTGACGTTGTCCTGGATACCATACTTAATTAATCAACGTTACTATGGTTACCTTTTATTCCTAGTTTGTCAGTTCAAGGTCTTGGTGGCTCGCTTCATCTTGTATCGAACAAGATTAGCGAAGAATGCGAGAAATTCCAAATATGGTTTAGCGACTTATCACGTGATTCGACGACTCGAATCATGTCGGAAGGTGAGGAGAGGTCAAGTAGATTGTTATAGATATTATCAGGATTATAATGATATATTTATAGTGCAGAACTAACAAAAGAGGCCGGATAGCCAGGAAGTTGGAATGGGGATTTCCTATTCCTTGGAATAACTGACAAAAACTTGATAATCTTCTTCTAATATTGTCTATTCTTTTGACTTGTCCAGAGTCTTCTCATGCCATACTCGACACAGTGGAAACGACCGTGACAGCACTGTTACTTGGTGTACAGAGAATAGCGAAAATCACCGAGGAACGTAGCGAGGAAGACGAGCAAAAACGAACTACCTCCGAGGAAGAGCAAGGTAAGACTCTTCGAGAATCGTTGGGGGAAACTAAACAAAATCATGATAATATATATCTTTTTTTCTTTCTTTCTTTTTCCTTACCTGAAGATGAAGAAGACGAAGGTTTACTGACTGGTCATCTTATGACGCATGTTTATCAAAACATGGTTGACGATGTAGTAAAACTTGACCTCAAGACCGTTCAGATGAGTGTGAAATCCTTGATATCTGACCTGAGAGAGACGGCTAATGTTGTACAGCATCCCTCACGTAGTAATGAGGACAGCACATTCAATATTGAATCAAGTCTGTCACACGACAAAACAGGTTGGATGTTGAGGAGTTCAGGTATTCCACTCATGTCTTCTATTGTTGCTCTTTTGGACCAGTTCATTGGACTTGCAGACAGCTATCTGGTCAACATGTTGTCTTCACACAGAACTACATGTAAACTGCTTTCTGTTCTGTTGGGTGTTTTCACCGAGTTGGCAGAGAAAGGTTTTTGCTTGCCACCAGAGATGGAAGAAGAACAAAGTGGGGAAGGAGCTACTGAGTTTGAAGATATTGAAAATGGCGGACTCGGTGAAGGAGAAGGTGCGAAAGATGTTAGTGATCAGATCGAAAACGAGGACCAGGTAGGTCACGTGATTCGTCCGCCATATTGGAGATAACGTATCTCCTAAGAGTATTTAACAGTCATTTCCAAAGGAATGAAATAACAAGATACATGGCTGCCATGTTGGATGACATGACAAAAGAAGTCATACTAAAAACTTGTGTTCCATTCATTCAACATGGCGGATACTCTAACGATACTTGAAAACCACTCATGGGTGCCATGTTGGATGGCAGAACAAAAGAAACCATACTCAAAAATTGTGTCCCATTCATCCAACATGGCGGATATAAAAAACCACTAGTGGGTGCCATGTTGGATGACAGAGCAAATAATTTGGAGTCCATTTATCCAACATGACGGCTCAATCGATACTTGTAAAACATCTTTTGAATTTCGATTCTAATTTTCAGCTGCAAGATGCGAAACAACAAGGTCAGGATGAAGACAAACAAGACAACAGTCAGCAACAGATTCCCGAAGAAGAAAGTGGAATCGAAATGAGTGAAGATTTCGATGGCGCTTTGCACGATGTCGAAGGTGACGAACAAGAAGATGAGAAGAGCGGTGACGAGGAGGAAGAGGAACAAGATGTTGACAAGCAAATGGGAGAGTTAGATGGGAAAGAGGATGAGAAACTGGACGAGAAAATGTGGGGTGATTCTGATGATGAGGACGAAAACGAGGTAAACTATTTCTGATGGTAAACGCGAAATTGTTTTTGGACACCAAAATACCGTGACGTTATATTTGTGATGTGACGTGAAGCCAAGCAATTATCCATGTTTTTATTCCATTTTAGGAGAAGGAATCAGAATCGGAAAAAGGCGCTGGTGCTGAAGCCGAAGCGCAGTCTGAAATGGTGGCGAAAGAAGATAATAAAGGTGGGCATTTTGGATTGAAATTATAGTCTGTGACATCTCTATTCAGCGGACACCTCTAGGTTCCGAAGGTGTGCGCTGAATACATACGGATACCACCCTGTAGTCAAATCTTAGTTCTAGTTAGGTTGAGGCTAATCTTTGACACACTTTAAAGATGCTAGTACCGAGAGATTACTCGTGGACACTTTCCACATGGGTTCACTGGTCATGCACAAAGCATTTAATCGAGGCTGCATGGTAGTTTATACCCTATAGCCTCGTTTTAACGTGTTAAGTTTAACCGTCGTATGGCAAATGTACAATAAAGTAGGGGAAATTAAGTTCCTGTCGTGGTTTGTTGCAGATGCTGTTGATCAAAGTAAAGAGAAAGATCAAGAACTCAGCGAGCAAAATGACAAGGAAGATGATGTCAATGAGTTACCCAAAGAGGACCATGGGAACCTATCAGACGAAGAACTAGACGAACAGGGGGAGGGTAAGGATGATAATGGCACACCAGATAATGAAGAGGACAATGATCTTGACCTTCCTGAGGATTTAGAGTTGGACGAAGACGTTGAGAATGAGGAAGAAGTAGGAGAAGGAGAAGAAGGTAAATCATCTCTTCGTTTGGAACACAGGGTGCCCAATTTAAATATGGGCGAATGAAAATAATTCAATAATGGACGAAGCAAAATTCGGGATTTATTTTATTTTATTTTATTTTATTTTATTTTATTTTATTTTATTTTATTTTATTTTATTTTATTTTATTTTATTTTATTTTATTTTATTTTATTTTATTTTATTTTWTWTT